ATCCAGCTGTATGGCGATAAAAAATTAAAAAATTAATAAAATGGCAAAACAAATACAAAATAAATCCGCCGGATATTCTGACCCCCACGTTTGACTACCGAACCGGACAGAGTAACCGGCGCCGGATACTTCCAACGCCGGTTACATGGACCGGACTCAATGGATGCTCCGACAGGTACTGGATGGAGCTCCGGGGCCGGGACTCACCTTGAGCAATAGTGGAATCAAAAATTAGTACTCATTCCACTATTGCATCACTCCAATGGAGCAATGGTGCGATTGAATATCTGACAAGTTAAAAGGGAATGTTCTATTCTCTTCATTCTCCGTCCTAATTGCACTTCCTCCCTCCATTTTTTGGCTAAATCAAACCCAAAGTACACCATTTTCCTCTATTTTAACATTTCATTGTCAATCTTGCCGTCTCTTGGCTTCATTATTATTGGCTTCCCTTCGTACTCCTTCTGAATCTGGTGTGTACAGCAAGCACTTGTGCTACTGTTGACCAGTATTCATGGATTGGCAGTGACTGGGTTTGGTGTGTACGGCAAGCACTCGTGCTACTGTCGACCACTCCATGTGAGTCTGGTGTGTATGGCAAGCACTCGTGCTACTGTCAACCATTCCCTATGAGTCTGGTGTGTACGGCAAGCACTCGTGCTACCGTTGACCATTCCTTCCTTGGAGAATGTTGGGGAGTCAACAGTTCTGATTCCACTTGATTCCAAGAACCGGGTTTCTAGCTTTCTATCTTGATACTGATTCTTACTGGTTCCTCTTCCATAGTATGTCTGATTCAGTTTCCAACAAAGCTTACAAGAATGAAAGAGCCAAAGCCTATAGGAACGCTAAAGGGGCCAAAGACAATGATGCCATACGGGGTGAAAACGGCTTATTCAGTAAAACTAAAATTGTAAAGTTGTCCCAAACTTTAAAAAAAACTGAACCTCATCTCTTCACTGAAGGTAACATGAACCCACTAACTCCCCAATTGTGATATTGACCCAAACTGACAAATTCTCCTCTTCTCTTCACTGAAGGCAATTTGGCCTTGGTGGACAATGAGACACACAAAGTTGTCTTTTCTGTCAGATTTATTGACCTGAACAAAGAGCCTGAGGAGTTTGTCAATGAATTGAAAGAAACTATCTCTATTGTCCACAAGCACACAACTGCTCGTAATCTTGTGCTCAAGAACCATGCTTTTGTAGCTTTGCCGGAAAACAAAAGGAGCGGTGAGATGTACGCAATGGGAATCACCGGTGGTCTTTCTGATGGAACCAAGGCCGGTTTGTCTTCAATGTGTTTCATATTTTTCTTTTGTATATGTCTTGATTGCTTATATGTCTTTTGCCAATTTATTCTAGCACCATATTGTTTGAACTCAACACACGGTAGCAGCACTACTTTGATTGCAGAGGACGATGCCTGATTAGATCTTTTACACTAGAGTTGAACAATTTATTGGCAACTTGTTCATGCAACAATGTACTCTCTTTTATGGATGTAATCTTCAAATGTCTGAAACGCTGAATGTCCCATCCTTTGCTTCAACATCACCTTTCACCCAACCCAATGGTGTTCCCTACAGTGGTAGTCTTGTTTTGACTTGTGACCAGTTTGTCAATGCGCCGCATAACGGCAAGGACTTGACCGACTACACTGTTGGTCTCTTTGGGACTGTCGATCAAAACACTGGAATTCCAATCCATCTTCCTGAAGGAGTACCTCACCAGGTGATTAATCAAAATTCCCATATGCAATTCCCAAACTACAATGCAGAGATAGTGTTAGGACAACCGAATATTATTGTACTGTTGACCTGGAATGTCAGAGTGATCCACCACACCCTACTCTCAACAACTCACTTCCGAGATCACAGTGACATTTTACTAGGCACTGGCAGGCCAGTGAGTCCCATTCACCTCAAAACAATTTCAAAAATATTTCATCAACAATACCAAAACAATATCAGATTGACTTCCAATTTGCTTTGAGTGGGGGATATGCATTGGCTGCGTATACTGGTAGATCCACATGAGGCTAGTTGAGTAGTACAGCCAAATATGAAGATTGATCTTCCAGAATATTCCGGTGGCTTCTTTTGGATTGCTAAGTAGGTTGGATACATTCTGAAAGTTTCCTATGCAGGCAAGTTCATACTCATGTGGTATCCTTTCAGGCTCTCTATTCAAAGATCATGGACTCTGGTTGACAATCTTAATGACAAGCCATGTGACAGAAGTGGAGCTCTACATTTTCATGAATGCATGCTTATTATCAACTTTTGTGACCTGAGTTGTGGAAACCAACAGTGGAGACCCCAAGTAATACATGTGTTGCCTATCCACTCACCTGTGACATGTCAGGAACTTGTAATTTCTTTGGAGTGATCTCATCAAAGTATCTCGGATGATAAATAAAATTCATGACCAGCTCCAAATAAATATAGGTCATACATGAAACTTAAAAATCTAACAAAAGAATCACAGGTGTTCAAGAAAAACTTTGAGATTGAGACCGCAACACAAATTTGTCTACTTATTGTTATTCTATATCCATTGCATACTCTTCCAGGTTGATTTCTTGCACAAAGCCCTGCAAAGTTGGATGTTGCATGAGGACATGTTCAACTAATGACTGATTTGATAACTCACCAGATTATTGAGTTGTACTATTGAAAGTGTTGGCCAAGCAATATCGAATGTACCTGCCGTGTTATGTTGTACAACAAGCTATCCAATCACCTTGTGACATGGAACAACATGATAATCCTCATGCAAATCATATATAACTGATGCATTAAGTAATCTTGGCAACGAATCATATGGGTCCTTGTGCTTGTCTTCAGCATTGAGAGACTTCAGTGATCTCACAACTAGAACTGGCTGAGTGACATCAGGAAGCTTGACAATGTCTGTGATATTACCAACCCTGTTGCATGAGTCCAAAGAGTATGATATGTAGCTGTTTCCAGGATTTTTACTGTATGTACTGTATGGCTTGGTCAAAATGACAAGGCTTGTAGTGATATCAAATGTGGATGCTGAAGTCTTGTCTGGCGCAAGAATCGCAAGTGTTTGAAGGGCCTCAAATGCTTGAGGACTGAGTTTTTTGGTGGTCCACTTGGTTCGGCGATTTTGTTGTAGGTATTCTTTGATAATAGGGTCAGCCTCAATCACAGGATGGCTGTTGTGGATCATTGCTTGAAAAAATCCACGCATTGAATGCTGTTTGAGCAAAGTCTCACCCACTTGTTCTACTCAGTGGCTGCAATCAAACTTGTGAAAATTAAGAACAAACACACTTGGATTTCCATTCTTTGAGGTCTGCACAAGGGCTCCAATGATACGCTCACCAGACCAGCTAGCTGTGTAAGCTGGAGGCCCAAGAAGTGTGGAGATATGGCCGATATGTTCCACAAAATGTAAATTTGGTTTTTTCTTCTTATGCGGCCATCCATCCCCTAGGGAAGCTTGATGTTCCTCAACCAAGGTTGTAATCATTTCCCCGTTGCCACGCTGAAAGGAACGCTGTGTACACATGTTGCCAATCTGAATGAGCTGAAGAAGGCTCGCTAGGATTTTAGCTGATGTTGATGCAGGGTCTCCACCTTTGAAGTGAGGGATCCAAGCTAGTACAATGAAGACTGTATATAATGAATGCCATTCAGCAGCTTTGGGAGTCCCTGCGATAGCCATTCCAAAGTTCTTCTGTGCTCGAGTGAGCCAAGAAGGTCCTTTGGCATGCTTGATACATTGTTGAAGCAAATCAAGCTCATAAGAAGTGATCTCAGGAATAATGGCTGGAGGAGGAGGTGTGGGTGATTGGGAGTGGTCCAATCCTTCACCCTTTTTCTTTCTACCTCTGATTGTATGGTCAGATCCAGCTGAAAATGCCATGTCGCGATGGAGATTAGAGGATACAGCTGATCGAGTATCATAAGAATGCCGAGAGGGAGGTTGAGGAGGTGGCATACTGCCTGTGGAAGCTGCACCAACACTGCCAGGTGGACTAGGGGATGCTGGTGGAGGAAGCTGCACATCATACTGCCGGTTACTAAATTCCATTTTTTCTTGTTCAGCTTCGGGGGCCTTGCCAGCAGCGGGGACTTGAATATACTGTGTTGAAAAGTCTTTGTATAGGCCAAGGAAGATGTTGTGCATGATGTTGACTGAAAAGAATTCAACAGCTTGCCAGTATGGCAGCTCATGAAGGATGGTATATTGTACTCCTGTCGTCTTTGCCAGTTTAGTTTGCTCACTTGCAGTGGCAGATTGTTCCCATTCCACTGCTTGATTCTTGACTCCCTCAGAAGTACGGAGTTCAACCTTTGGTGCTTGTGATTTAGAGTGGTAGAGAGTCCGATCAATGTGACAAAGAGAGCAAAAACATGTTGATGAGTGTGATGTTCCTCCAGTGACCTTTTTCATGGCTGGAACATCTCCATGAATAGGCCATAGTGCAGCACGCAGGTTCCTCCCTTTAGGATGCTTTGAAGTTGATGTAAAGGTAATGCCGTCCCAGAACTCTGACATTTCCGTGACTAGCGGTTTGAGAAAGTGATTCATTTCCAAGAGGGATGGTTCAGATGGACCCGGCATGATACCATAGATGCAGATGTTTTCTTTTTTGTATCGTATTGTTGGAGGTAGTTTAAAACAGGTGAGAAGCATAACACCAACTGAAGTCTTGGTTGCTGCATTCTTGCCTCCAGGATTGAACCAATCACACCATAATCCAAATACAAGGTTACCAGATCTTGATGTGAAGATGTACCTGTCTTTCTTGAAGGTTTTCCACAAAGTACCATCCCATATATCATCCATTCTATCATTGGCAGGTTGCTCACAATTGAGTTGTGCATCAATGGCTTCTTCAAAGTAGTGATACTGAAGCATCTTTCCAAGCCAAGAACGTAACGACTGATAGAAGAAGAGCCTGATGGGTTTCTGAACTGTTCCTGGAGATTTTTCGTAGAGAGGAGATTGACAAGGTTCTCAGGGAAGAGTAGTTGATGCTTTCGTAGTGAATCGTGGGACATCACAGAGTGGAGCTGGTGATGCATTGCGTGGTAAAGGTGCTTGAATTGAAGACAAAGCACAACAGAATGGGCAACACAGTTGTGATTGGATGGACGTCTCGAGTTTCAAGAGCTTGAAAAGTGCGGGAAGGCCAAGGGGGATCTGGGTCCAAACTTTCTGTTTGGTGGTTGGATCTTGTGCAAGCTTGTGTTCTTTTACAGACTCTCTAGCTTTGGCCAGACTTGTTTGACAAGCTTTGACCCCAACGTGATGAAAGAGGTGTTCCTTGGCAACTTTGAACATTTCTCGCATGCAGAGAGGATCCTGCAAGAATCTACGTGGAGTTGAAGTCGTAATTTGGGTGTGAACTGGTTCTTGTCGGGGTGCTTTTGAGCTTGGTTGAACCAATATGACTTTGTCGTCTTCATCATCATTGCGAGGTCGTTTTTTGGTTCGTATGGGGATTGCAGCTCCAATTGGTGCAAGAGTTGGTGGTGGTGGTGCTTGACTAGTGGATGCAACTGGTCCTTCAATAGTTGAACCCTGGTGATGGTAATGGTCAGGTCAGACAAGTTCAATGTTAAGAATGTTGATGCTGGAACTATCTTACAGTAACATGAGGGAGGGGTCCAAGTGCCAATTGTTGCATTGGTGTTGTGATTTTGTTAGTCGGGTGATGCACGGATTGGCTGGGCATTGAAAGCCTATTGATCTGATTGTGGTGCTTAGGATAACTTTTCCGACTGAACAATTCACCTTGATGAACTTGGCCCATGAACTCTATAGTCTGTTGTGAGCATCCTAGTTGAGGACATGCGCACAGGATGTGATCTCGTCCTAGGCCAGTGGCATGAGACCCAAGAGGTGTTGGCATAATGTTGAAGGATCAGGGTGTGTAGCAAGAAGTTGTTAAGTTCAGTGGATGGATGGATTGCTGATGGTGAGTATATGAAGTGGCAAAGGTAAGATACATTACAGGGATCTACAGTAATGTATAACTAGCATTCTCAGCGGCGGGCACCGCCTCAAACCCACGCACAACGTACCCTTTGATCAGTCACACATGAGCATACCCCACGTTCAACCCATGCACTATTTTTGGATGAAGTTCTCAAAGTTGAGAAGCATAAACTTGTACAGGTGATGGTTTTGGTAAGGACACTGATGTTGCCACAACCCATTTTGCCCTGGAGAGCAAGCATCAAGTTAAAACCACCTTGCCTCTGGGTTGTCTACGCTATAAACCAATGGTTATGAATGAATCAATTCTTCTCGGGACAATTTTTTAAGCCACACTTTTACATATGATTTCAGTGTAGAATTCAAGCACGTCCGTAGATCAAACGGATCAACAGTAAGCCTGAAATTTAATTAAGCATTGAAATTATTCGTATCAATCTATTTGCAGGTGGGCTTTCTTCTACAAAGCTCAAGGATCACCTTCTCGGCAGCCACCTCTGGTTAATTGCACAAGAACAACGCGCAAACAAAGCATGATCTTTTCCGCCCTTTCCATGCGCTTCAGTTTAATCCCATGATACTTGATGTCCATCAGTTCCTCCACTTGATTGGCTCGAACGCTAACTTTGTCCGCTAAAGCCTGCCATTCTTCATGTTGCTTAGTCAGCACAAGCAACATTCCATTTTCCTTACTTTGAAACTCCTCACCTTGCAATCAGCATAATTCGCACGCGATCGAATTAGACGCTACCTTCGTTTGTTAAAGCCTTCCATGATTCATGTTTAGCAGTCAGCAATAGCACTATTACCTTTCATCAACTCTGAAACCACTCACCTCCAAATCAGCATAATCTAATTGCTCTACGAAGTGGCACTCGATTTGATGCCGCTGAAAAATCTTCTTTAGCTCCTTGCACTACACAAAATGTCATCTTTACCAGGCGGTAAAGAAAACTACTGCCATAGAAAAGTCCTGAGGCAGCAGGAAGAGAGCTAAAAATCTGAAAAAATATGCACCTTGTTCCTAGATGTTGGGGCGTCATGACGAGTATTTTTTTGTATTTTACACACAGATATTGGTTAATGTACTAACAATAAAGGCTGAGAATCATCAAAAACCCACCTGTAACAATACCTGAAATTTGGCCCTTGACTTTGAAGACAGGATTTTAGAATCTTCAAACATCAATAAGTTTTGCAGTTCTGAATCAAATCACGTGATTTGGAGTGCATTAAAAAGGTGAGCCTTTCCTCTACATTTTTCATTGAGACATCACATCTGTAGCTGGTCTAAAAAAGATCCTACAGAGCTATTCATGCAGAACTGTTTGAACATATGTAGAGTGTTTAAATGACT